CCACATAAATACAGTTATCTTATATTAGACAAAGGTGCCAGAAACATACATTGGAGAAAAGATAGCCTCTTCAACAAATGGTGCTGGGAAAATTGGAAATCCATATGCAACACAATGAAATTAAATCCTTATATCTCATAATGCACAAAACTCAAAGTGGATTATGGACCTTGGAATTAGACCATATCCTGTGCCTACTAGAAGAAAAAGTAGGTCCAGATCTTTGTCATGTCGAATTAGGTCCTGCCTTCCTTAACATGACACCTAAAGCACATGAAATAAAATCAGGAATTAATAAGTGGGATGGATTCAAATTAAAAGCTTCTTCTCAGCAAAGAAAACAATAATGTAAAGAGAGAGCCTACAGAGTGGCAGAAAATCTTTACCACATGCACATTAGACAGAGCACCAATCTCCAGGATATATAAAGAAATAAAAAAAAATACTTAACAACAAAAAGAAAACAACCCAATCAATAAATGGGATAAGGAACTGGACAGACACTTCTCAGAAGAAGATATACAATCACTCAACAAATACATGAGAAAATGTTCAACATCTCTAGTAACTAGAGAAATGTGAATCAAAACTAAGATTTCATCTCACTCCAGTCAGAATGGCAGTTATTAAGAATATAAGCAACAATAAATGTTGGTGTTGATGTGGGAGAAAAGATACAATCATACATTGCTGGTGGCACTGCAAATTGGTGCAACCATTCTAGAAAGCAGTATGGAGATTACTCATAAACCTGGGAATGGAATTACCATTTGACCCAGCTATCCCACTCCTCAGTCTATACCTGGAGGACTTAAAATCAGCATATTTCAGTGACACAGCCACTTTAAAGTTTAGAGCAGTTCAGTCCACAATAGCTAAACTGGAACCAACATAAGATACCCTTCAATGGATGAATGGATAAAGAGACTGTGGTATACATATACATGGAATATTACTCATCATTGAAAGAGAATAAAATTATGGCATTTGCAAGTAAATGGATAGAGCTGTAGTATATTTTGCTACTCAAAGTAAGCCAATCCTCCAAAACCAAAGGCCAAATGTTTTCTCTCATAAATGGATGTTGATCCATACTGGGGGGGCTGGGCATGGGAAGAGTGAAGGAAATTTGAATTAGATAGGAGTGAGGGGGAATGGTGGTAAGAAAGATGGTGGAATAATATGGGCAACATTACCCTAGTTATACGTAGGATTGCACAAATGGTGTGACTCTACATCGTATACAATCACAAAAATGAAAATTGTGTTTTATTTGTGTAAAATGAATCAAAATGCATTCTGCCATCATGTATAAATATTTAGAACAAATAAAAAAGAAAGAAAAAGAAAATAGTCAGAATTGTAGCAATGAAAGATAATGAATGAATCAATTAAAAAATTAGTTTTAAAGCATTGCCATCAGATTATAATGCATAGAAAAGAGAACTTCGGCTCTTAAAGACAGAACCTCAGGTCTTGAAGACAGGACATGTGAGTTTGAGTACACAGAATAAAATAAAGAAAAATAATAGTAGAATATGATTAGAATGTACAAGAAATGTGGGACAACATTGAGAGACCAAACCTGATAATCATTGGGATAGAAGAGAACATAGAGATACAAGCTGAAGGCATTAAGAACATTTTCAATTAGATCGTTACAGAAAAGTTTTCCATATCATAAATGAGAGAGACATTCACATGTAGGAGGCAAACAGGACCCCCTACAGACTGAATCAGAAGAGAAGTTGTCCAAGATGTATTGTATCCAAAATGCCTAACAGAAAAAGATAGCAAGAGAAAAACATCAGGTCATACTTAGAGGCTCACTTTTGATTTCTCAATCCAGACCCTAAAATCAAAGAGGGGCTAAAATGAGATATTCCAAAATCTAAAAGAAAACAACTGCGTTCCATGTTTACTGTACCCACCAAAGCTTAGTTTCAAATTTGTGGGGGAAATAAAAAACCTTCCATGAAAAGAATAGAGAAAAATAATTCATCACCACCAAACCAGCACTCTAAAGAATACTCAAAGATAAACTGTACCTAGAGGAATTAAAAAACAAATCCCCAAAGTCCCAAATAAAGAAAGATCAGTAAAAGGGTAATCTACTAAACAAGAATCAAGACAGTATCAAATATCGCAAAAAGTCAAAATGGCAGGATGGCACAAACACATATCCATACTAACACTGAATGTTAATGGTCTTGACTCACTAATGAAAAGACACAGTTTGGAAGAATGGATCAAAAAACAAGACCCAACTATATGCTTCATATAAAAGACTCATCTTATAGGCAAAGACACCCACAGGCTGGTAAAAGGAGGGAAAAAATATTCTACACAAATAGTCCCTGAAAACAAGCAGGAATAGATATTCTCAAAGCATATTTTAAGCAAAAACTGATCAGAGTAGACAAAGTAGTTTGCTACATTCTCTTAAAGGGAACAATCCAACAGGAAGATATAATGATAGTAAATATTTGTGCCCTAAATATCAGCACATCCAATTTTATTAAAAAAACATTCTCCATGACGTTAAATCTCAGATAGACCACAACACAAAAATATTGGGTGATTTTAACACATCTTTATCACCAATAGGTCATCACAACATAAATTCAATGAAGATATTTCCAATCTAAATGATACTATAAATCAAGTGGATCTAAAAGTTATCTATAGAATATTTTACCTCCAAACAGCTGAATTTAACTTCTCAGCAATTCATGAATTTTTTTCCAAATGGACCATATTCTAGGTCATAAAGGAAAGCTTAAAAAATATTTTAAAAAAATTGATATGAGGGGCTGCGGTTGCAGTTCAGACATAAAGCGCTTGCCTTGCACATGTGAGTCCCTGGTTTTGATCCTCAGCACCACATATAAATAAATGAAAATAAAGGTATTGTGTCCAACTACAACTATAAAATACATTTAAAATATTGATATGATCCCATGCATCCTATCAGATTATAATGGAATGAAACCAAGAAATCAACAGCAAGAAAAATAACAGAAACACTATGAGCACATGGAGATTGAACAGTATTCTTTTTTATGATTTTTATTAGTTCATAATTGTTACATATAACATTAGGTTTCATTTTGAGATACTTATAAATGCTTAGAATATGATTTGTTCCAATTCAGCTGCCAGTCTTGACCCTTACCCTACCTCTTTTTCCTCCCCCATTTCTTTTTATCTATTCTACTGATATATTTATTTATGTTTTTTAAGCAGTGTCTTGTGGAAATACATAATGGTGAGTTTCACTGTAGTTTATTCATATACGTACATTGGAAAGTTAGTTCAGGTTCATTCAACTGTTTTTACCTTATCCCATTCCTTCTCTCTCCCCCAATTGTCTACATGAGATAAGTAAACTGCCCGCGTTCTACTACTATTTAACATTGGGCTGGAGGTATTTGCTAATGTGACTGGACAAGGGAAAGCAAATACGTCATTGGAATTGGAAAATAAGAGGTGAAATGGTCTTTCTTTCTAGATACAATGGTAGTTTATGGAAAACTCCAAAGTAAGAATGGAAGAATGGCTACAGGCAATAGAAGAACTTAGCAAAAAGTCAGGTAATACATTTAAGGTATAAAAATCAGTAGTTTTTACATATGCAGACAAAACCAGAGAGAGGGTCAAATGGAACAGTTGATATGGTATATGTTTGCATAATGTCAGTGAGATATTCAGTTATACATTTTACATGTGTCCAATATTGACATGAGGAAAACTCAGGAAACAAATTTAGCAACTGGATGGGGAACTATGTTATTAGATAGAAAACATCACGAAGCTATTGTTTCTTATATAGTTAATTTATATATCCAATGAAAGAAAAATATCCTAAGAGTTTTCTGGATCAGACAGGTCAATGAGAAAGTTCACTTGAAGGATAAATAAGACTAGCCAGAAAACTACGGGGAATAAGATATCAGGGATGATGTGTGTTGGTAGGGTGAGCCTTATTAGATATTAAAATTTACTTCTGAAATCTTTATAAGTACAATAGGGAAGGATAGGGATATGATTAAAAAAGCAGTGGAACAGAATAGAGAATCAAAATAGACTTTATTATATACAGAAATTTAGTATGCTATAGAAGCTGCATTCAAAATCATTGGGGTTTAAATTTAATTTTACTAAGTGGAATAGAATAAATAGTCATAGACAAAAGCAAAATTAGGTCAATGTCACATATAATTTCACAGGAAAATTCAAGTGAATCAGATGTTTAAAATCAAACAGTGAAATTATGCAGAACGAAAATATAAGAAAACATGAGTAGATTCCTATGTAAACTTGTAGCAGAAAATCTTCTGATTAAAATTTACCAGAAACACCCGTGCATCATTGTGCATGCCTGTAATCCCAGCAGCTCATGAGGCTGAGGCAGGAGGATCAAGTTCAAAGTGAGCCTCAGTAACTTAGCAAGGACCTAAGCAACTCAGTGAGACCTTATCTCTAAATAAAATACAAAAAAGGGTTGGGGATGTGGATAAGTGGTTAAGTGCCTCTGGGTTCAAACCCAAGTACAAACAAAACCAAACCAAACAAAAAACAACCAACCAACCAATCAACCAAAAAATCCCAGAAGTAACAATGGAAAATGTATCGTTAAAAATAACTTTTGCATGAAAAATAGATTGTGGACAAATAGAAAGAAAATGGCAAACTGTAAGTATATAGTCAATAAATATATGCACCTGATTTGGTGATAAGTACTCATTTAGCTACATGGAAGGTTGTGACCATCTCAAGGGCCATTTTGGGGCATGTAAATGGTAGAATTTGATTAGATTGCATTGAGGATGAATGGGAAATGAGAAAATGGAGACAATGTCCCTCTGAAGTGAGGTAGAGAAGGAGAGAAGAAAGCTGAGTTGGAGTGGAAGGGAATGGGAAGGACTGATTTACAGGTTCTGAGTTGATGCAGGTCACACGTGGAGGTTTCAAACCAAACTAGAGAAAACATTTAGTACCTTTGTGGAGTTTTGAGAAATTGTAGACATTATCCAGGCAATGACTAAAAGAGATATCAACACCAGCAGCATTTTCTGAAGCATTGTGTTTGAAGACATGATGAGAGACCTAAGAAAGACAAAGCATGAGACAGAATCATTCAAAAAGTGAGTCCTTCTGTACACATTGTTTTATTTTTCACCTGCAATTTGTCCTGAGACTTTTCCCCCCTTGCTGACCACTTTCTTTCTATCTCTTAACAACCAGCCCACAGCACCAACCCCTTTGCCCAACTGTTGGCTATTTCTTATCCAAGATTTATTTAGGATTGTTGCTTCCTCCTTCCATGACCTTGAAATGGGAGGCATTTGCCTCTCTTACATTCTCTCATTGCACATTCTAATTTCTCATTTGGAGCACTTACCACCATTCCACAGACCACCATTGCAATGAGAAGCAGAAAATTTAATTCATCAGTCTATAATTAGTGGACGACTTGGGATAGCTGAAAGGACCACAATAATATGTGTATGTTACAAAACACAACCTACAAACACCCTTAAAGAAAGTTGGTCCTGTTAACTGGGCAGGTAAGCAGGGCAGGTTACTTTTGTTTTGCTGAGCACCAAGTATGAAATTTGGAAATGTAAAATCCTTTTGGACCAAATTATTCTGTGTAAAAGGAAAGAGGTGATTTAACAAGGTTATGTATTACATGAGAAAAAGGAACGAAAAGGAGATGAAAAGAGGTAGTGAGGGGGGTGAAGGTGGGAAGCAGAGACAGGGAGGAGAGAAGCTCATCCCCACCATCTCCATTGTAAAGTGGTCATGGAACAGAAGTTACATTTTATCCTTTAAATGGTGTTTTTGGGATCTGAGATGTAAAGTCCCCCTTCTCTTTTCCTCACCACATCCCCAGTGGGGTCCAGTTTGTCTGAAAAGCCCTGTGTGACAGTGGATTCAATTAGTTGAATCCCAAAAGTTTCTTTTGAGTCTAGTTGTGCAGAAGGAAACAGGTACATCCCCCACAAAATGCATGTCAGAGAACAAATGGTCAATTTATATTATAACTGGTTAACTTTTGGGGAATCCAAGGAGAAATTTTTTAAGCAAGATGAAGTGCACAGTTATGATTCATAACAATCATTTTATGATTGAAGTGAGACTTCCAGTTACTGAAGCATAATGTGGGAAAAAATGTAAAGGTGAGATCTCGGTCCAGGTGAGTGTTGGGATGAAATGAATGAATACAGGAGAAGGGAACAGAATGGAGCAACCTCCAGTCTGTGTCACTCACTGCATTGCAATATTTTGATTACTTTCTGATCATCAATGACTTCCAGTTACTAAAGAAGTAGAGCAGTGTCTACCTCAGTGTTGTGTGCACAGTGACAGAAAAACATATTTGTTAAATGAATAATTTGAAAGCAGAATTATGCTTTTTAGAGCAAATTTAACTTCCATCTACTGAAATTTCATATATTCTTAAAATGTTCATATAGCGTGTTCAACACAGCAAAATATCAGAGTCAAATGGCTCTGTTAGCACCTCTCACCCCCACCCATTCTGAGCCTAACCAGATTTTCTGACTTCTAAGTGAATTCCATACTGCATGAATTTCAATAACTGATTTGATTCATTTTTATGTACCTAGAATGTAGTTCATATGGATAAGTTTCAGCAGTACTGGGAAAAAAAGAGAAAGAAACATGATTACCTTTGTAGTTTGATGAATCTTAGACTCTCTTTCTGTTTTTCCTAGGTTTTTAACCTTACTCTGTTTATTCACTTATATAATAGTCACTGAGTATTTACCCACTATGTGTCAGATACTGTGGAATATACTAAAGATAAACTGACCCAAAAATGATTTACATAAACATTCATGAGGATTAGAATATGTTAGTGGAAACACTAGTTTCTTGTTGGTCTCTGAATAAGCCTTATTCCTCCATTTTCTGAGTCATTGCATGCATCTGCTGCCTGAAATTGTCATCACCTCTTCCCTCCCTGCACCCATACCCTCCAATTCCCTCTTTGGCAAAGCTGGAGAATTTCTATTCATTATTTGTGTCTGTGCTTGAGTGCAGACTGATCTTTCTTTAGTAGTTTTAGATAATAACTTATTCCTGTGTGCTAGCCTCCTCCTCCTCCTCCTCCTTCATTATTATTGTTATTATTTTGGTGTTTGGAGTACTGGGGATTGAGCCAAACAGTAGTGTAGTAATGAACTGCATCCACAGGTGTTTTTATCACTTTATTTTCCAGGGTCCTGCTAACTTGCTAAAATTAGAGTAGATTCTCAATCTTCCTGCCTCAGCTTCCTGAGATGCTTGGCTTAAAGGGATTTACCATGATAAGTGACTGTTTTCCCCTGGCATTTTGTCACAGCAACAGCATCTGTTCTCTGTTCGGAAATCCTAATGCAGACCACTTTTGACTAAACCAGAGAAATCATAAATCACAGTACAGCCTGGTACCTTTGATTTATTCCTAAATCAAAGTCTCACTCAGATTCTATTCCCTCACTTGAATTCTGCTTATCAAGTGTCTTCAATAACTATCCACTTAAAAATTCCTACTGGCAGAGGCAATGCCAAGCCTTACTTATATGTTAGCTTAGACTTAAAGTCTCTTTTGTGCATCTTTTCCCAATCTCTTCTATTATGGATACATTTTCATCATGGAAATTGGCAAAGGCTGAAAGCTGATATAGATTTTCTTTTTATCTAAGATATCAGATTTGTCTAAACACCCTTACTCTAAGGACTCTGAAAGTTCATTGATCACATTAGAATATATTCTCATCTGGAAGATCAAATGGCAGATTAGAGGGAGGCTGCACTTTCTATTTGTTCCATGGATTGGGATTCAGGCATTGGAAATACTGCTTCTCAGTGAGGTGAGAAATAGAGGAATTCACTAAAATTCAATATTGGACATGCATACCCAGAATTCAGAATTCAGGTGCTTTGAACAAAGGACAAATAAGGGTATGATGGAGCCAAGCTGGTTGTGACAGTTGGATCAGATAACCACAGAGGGAAAAAGGGTAACAGAAAGTAGAGAAATCTGGCATTGAAAAATCTGTAGAACTGAAAAGCAGCCTGAACTTAGCTGAATCAGAGGCTGCATAGAGACTTGGTGTTTGTCAGTGATCCTTGCTTCTCAACTAGAAAGTTGAGAACTGAGGCGGGAGCCACCTTGAGGTGGTCATGTTGTAGCTGGCTACTGTAGGAAACCCAAGAGACCTCTGTATGTATTGAGACCCTGTGTGGGCAGGTGCCTGTCATGAGGACTAGTCTGTACCTAGCAGAACATGATTGAGACAGTTACAGAGAAGATTATACCCAGGGGGATTAAGGTCAGCGATATAGGACGGAGTATCACTTTGATTCACTTTGAATCTGGTGGCTCATGTGTTCAGTTGAAAAGGGTCAGGGAACTGATGAGGCAGCCATGATTACACTGTGGCTGAGCCTGGGAATGCCATACTCATGGGTGATGGAGAGTGTGAGACCTGTGGAGGGTTTGTTATCCTGACCTGGGAGTAGAACACTCTGGAGACCCTGAGATCGGCATCTTCCTGTCTATAGCATTGTATTGATCTAATCTCTCCAGGACAGATACCATCTGACAAACTTCCCAGAGTTCTAATCAGAGGTAAACCCGAGCTGCTGGAACTTCCCATTTAGAAACATGCATCAGCCCCACCCTGGGAGTGCATGAATATAGTTTGTATAGACAAAACTTCAATTGATAGTATTTCCCTTTTACTGGTGAAAAGGGAAGCTGAGAGCTGTTTCAACCAGCTTTTCCAGGCCACTCCAGCTGACAGCTGATTCAGGAAGTGAGGACAGAACATGAATGAGAAGTTCAATAAAGTGTCAGAGATATTGAAAAAGAACCAAATAGAAATCTTGGAAAATGAAAAGTACAATAAATCAAATAAAGAGTTCAGTTGAAATCCTATCCATAGACAGACATACTCAAAGATGCAGATAGACCCCAATAAAATAATACTAGGTGATTTCAACACTTCTTTCACCACTAGATAGGCTATCCAATTATAAATTCAGTAAAGACTCTCAGGCCTACAAAATATTATAAATCGAATGGAGCAAATGGATATTTATAGGATATTTCACCCAATGACAGCCAAATTCACTTTCTTCTTAGCTACTCATGAAAACTTCTCCAAAATAGATCATAGTTTATGCCACAAAGTAAGTTATTAGCAAATATAAAAAATGATATAATTCATTGCATTTCATGGATCATAATGGAATGAAATAAAAAAAAGTACTAAGAAAATCTACAGAAACTATATGAACACATGAGGGTTGGACAATACACTTTAAAAAATATTTTAAAATTTTCTTTTAGTTATACATGATAGTTGAGTATATTTTGACATATTTATACATACATGAAGTTTATCTTATTCTAATTAGGGTCCCAGTCTTTTAGTTGTATTGTATATGATGTGAAGAAGATTCATTATTGTGTACTCATGTGTGAACATAGGAAAAGTATATCAGATTCATTCTACTATCTTTCCTATTCCTATCCCCCCCTCTTTTACCTTTATTCCCCTTTGGCTAATACAATGAACTTAATCCCACATCGGCGTGGTAGCATCTATATATTAGAGAGAATATTTGACCTTTGGTTTTTTTTTTTTTGGATTGGCTTACCTATTTAGCATGATAGACTCCAGATACTTCCATTTACTTGCTAAGGTCATACTGGCAAATGTCATCAGTGTGTATATATCACATTTCCTTTATCCATTCATGTATTGAATGGCACCTAAATTGATTTCGTAGCTTAGCTATTGTGAAGTGAGCTGATATAAACATTGTAGTATGCTGATTTTAAATCCTTTGGATATATACCAAAGAACAGAATAAGTGGTCAAATAGTGGTTCTGTTCAAAGTATTTTTGAGGCATTTCCATACTGCTTTCCATAGTGGTTGTACCAATTTCCTGCCTCAACAGCAAATGTATAAATGTACTTTTTTCCCCCATACTGGCCAACATTTATTTTTACTTGGATTTTTGATTGTTGCCATTTTGACTGGAGTAGGACGGAATCTGAGTGTAGTTTTAATCTG